TTATGTTGATATGTTGTGCTGGTATTTATACCAATCAATAAATACCTGAAATTTGATATGTGTCATTATTTTAAAATTGGTTTTTGTTAAAAGAATACCAGCTTCTCTCCTTATTAAATTTTTTGAGACATTTCAAAACATCTGCATTTAAACAGCATTATAGTAACTCCCTCAAGTGAAATCCTAATCTAAATATTCATAGTATAATTCTACAATTAGATATAGAGATGCAGAGAGTGGTTAACAACTGATAAATTGATTTGAACACTGAAATTAAGAACACAAAAAAAGCTGGTTTCTATATTCATGTATTATACATATCCAAAGAAACTTTCTCCTTGAAAATTAATTATTATGAAGTTGAATGCAAGAAAGTTTAAAGTTATTTAAATAATTCATATTTATATATTACTTCACAAAGATAATTTCTTGCCTACCTTCACTATCTTGAGGGAAGAGAGGAGGTTGCTTTTAGAAAAGTGGTATTTTATGAAACAAGATTTGAATCAGACCATTAGGGAATTCATCCATATTGTATATCCAGTCCAGATGATTGGTAGATAGATAAGAAATATTTTTATTCCAAATTCTTGATAATGAATTTGACATCAACTGTTCAAAACCACACAGTAGGGAAAGACAAAAATCAATGTCTATCTTTGTCTTTTGTGCCAAGTTAATACAAGTTACTCAAGACTAGTAAAAAAAAAATGTTGGAGTCAAAGCACATGTCATATTAATTTAGTTTCAGAAATAGTAATTTTCTAAACAACAGGTGATATAAAATGGCTCATTTTCTTGGAATGTGACCAGTACGTCAGACCTAGGGAGGCCTTTTTCTCTGTATTTTTGCATATCATTTTTGCAGCTATAGACCACAAGGGATACAGTCTTCATCATTCTCTATATTACCAATAACTGATCTGAGAGCACAATTCCTTTTAAAGTTATTATAAAGTTCTCCCTGTATGCTGTGAAGGGAGTCACATTTTAAGATAAAGATTGAAACTTTTATTTTAATAAGAACTCAATTATATGCTCATGTGTTAACTTACTTTAGAATGTGAACTCTGACAGCAAGGCACAGATCCCAACTTTTTGATTAATTTTTACTTATTTCCCAGTGTAGACACATTCACATTTGGGAACTGGAAAACCTCATAAATATTTGAGTAACTGAATGATTGAATCAAAACCAAGGTTTGTGAAATATTTTTAACTGGCTATAGATGCTTGTGTTCAATTTGTGAGCTGTTCTCAGTTACTTTTAGTAAACTACTCGAATATCTTTTGTATGCATATATAGACCTAGTGGTTTGCTTTCTGAGTGTGTATATATATGTACACACAGTCATATAGAGTCCCATAAACATATCTCTTAATGCAAAATAAATAAATTGATAATTAAATACATACAAATAATAAAGTACTACTCTTCAATATTTTCTGTAAGACTGTTTTCAATTTATCTTATTTTATTTTTGTGTTTTTAATGATTTTCCTCAACTCCAATCACATTTTAAATTAGGTTTGAGACAACCTGACAAATGCTAAAGCTGACCTAAGTGATTTAAATATGTTTTTAATTTTTTTTTAATTTTAATTCCTATAATGAGATGTGTACTTACCAGTAGGAGAGGCCACACCAACCTGTTGTGTGGCAGTTGTTGGTGTCAGACTTTGAGTTACCTGCCTGGTCTTTAAAAGCTTTTGAGAGCTAAACCTTTGTTCTTGCAAGTATCTAAGTTGTTCTGAGCTCCCCCAATGGGACATCAAAATTCTTCTCTTGCTAGTGGGCCCTTCTGTTTACTCAAGAATAAATAGGATCACGTGCTGGGGATTAGAACTTTCAAGGGGGCCAAGGGATTAGAACTTAAACCTGTCAGAGAGGTACTTGTGCTACAGCTAAAAAAAAAAGCGCTAATGCCATAACCATGAAAAAAATCTTAGGTGTGAGGTGGTCTGTTCTAACTTTGCAAATATAGTTTTGCTTCTCTGGCTGATTGGTTTTTCTCTTGAATGTTTTTTTTTTTTTTTTTTTTCCCTAAGCAATTGAATTGACAATGTGTGAAGAGTAGAGATTCAAGTGTATACTCAGAACACAAGACATGCTAGGTGAGGCCTGCTTCTGTTGTTTGGGGGCAAGTTTGCCTATGTCCTAGAATAGGGGTCTAACAAAAGGGCCTGCCAGTCTTACCTTCTGGCAGATCTGCTAAAGGACACTCTCATAATCATGACGATTTTATGGCTGTTGAGCTTTCAACCTTATAGGACACTAAAAAGTCAAGGTCAGGTCTCAGATATCTGGGAATATGAATCCAGAGATCTTTTATAAAGTAAATTTATATTTTCCACATCATGACATGAAATGAGACCACTTGTTAATGTTTTGGATAACTTTTAATAACATGGAATAATTGATAATGAAAAATGTTATAATGCTACTGTTTAAGCCATGCACAAAAGTGGACATTCTGTGTCATCTGAATTAACTTGAGAATGGAGGTGCCTCAAAACATGTTTATCATTGCAAATAATTTTTATTTCCTTTTCAGTATTACTTCAAAGAATTACACTGGGGTCTCCCTAGTGGCCTAGGGGCTAAGTCTCAGCACTGTAACTGCATTATGACAAAACTAATTTGATTTTTTCCTTATATTTAGAATAGATATATCCTATCTATACTAAAGGAATTCCTAGGCATTTAGAGATCTTATGTTTTAGATTTCTTATTATATCTTTATTATTATTATATGTGTGTAAAGGTGAGTGATTTATACTGGTTCCCAGACTTTGGAAGCCCACTTATGAAAGTGCTTATATTACATGCTAAAGGCCATAGCTATTAAGGATTTCAGTAGAGTATAATAAGATCTGATTTCTTGTAACCAAAATAGCAATAATAATATTTTTACAGTAGTAAGATTAGCATGCTTATATATATTGTTTACTACATGCTAGACACCATTCTAAGTCTTATCTGCCTATCAACACTTTTAATCCTTTTGACAACCTTTTGAGGTAGTCACAATGTATTTTCCATTTAATGGGAATCTTCCTATCACACTGACTAGCACATAATAAACACTCAATAGATAACTACTACTACCATGCATTCTTTTTATAATGTAGCATTTAAGAAAAATGAGATCACATTGGCATTCTTTAATAAAACTTCGTCACTTACTAGCTGTATGCCTTAGGGCAAGGTAATCCAACTTTTTTTATTTCAGTGTTCCTATTTGTTCAATGGAAGTAATGTTTGTCTCATAGGGTTTGTAAAATGATTAAAAATTCAAGTCAGATCATGCAGATGAGTGAGTCCCCGGTTCACTGGGAGCCTTCAATGGAAGGTAGTAACAATAATTCCAGTCATATTTTTTTTTAAACAATAGCCTAGGTTTATTGGTAATTTAAGTTTTTTTTTTTTAAGATTTATTTATTTATACATACAAGAACAGGGGTACAGGTCAGAGTTGTGGGGGTGAGAGGATTCACCAGAGACAGAGGCTGCAGACAGCTTCACAGCACTGTGCTTAACTCCTTCCGCCACTAGGCAGGCCCTTGAATACCAACATTCTATGGCGATGTAATACTTTTATAATTTAAGACTCTCCCAGTTTTCATTTCCTACTGACAAAAATGGAGTGACCCAGTCATGTCTAAAGGGCATTCCCTTGGACACTACAAGGTAGGGAGCTACCCTGCAGTCAGGTGAAAGGTGAAAAGACATAAATGATATTATTTCCTTCTTTGTCTTCGGCATCTTTTAATTCTTCCATATGTAAAAACTATATTCAAAGACACGTTGTGAACATATAATGCCGGTTCTGCATTATAAAAAAGAATAAAGCAAGTGTGGGATTTGTATTCTATAGAATTAACTATTTAATACTCAAAATTCCCAAATAGTGATAGTGTTATAGAGCAGCCCCGATATTGAATGGGTTCCTGGCTGTGGTCCTCACCCGCGCGCTTAAAAGGGACTTATTAATACTCCACTACAGGCACACACAAAAGGTTAATAAAAGGTTTATTTACAAGGGAAAGGGAATTAAGGAAATGTACAACTCAGGGAGAAAATAGGGAAATAAAGTCTTTAATGCGTCCTACCCGATCCAACGACCTGGAAATGCAAAGGCACTCTCAGAGCTGGCCGGACGCTGCGAGCTGGTGGAGAGCCAAAATGGGGGGACCCCCCAAAGGCCACGTGTCTGCCTTTTATATCAACCTGGCTGCTTAACCCCACCCTCAGGTCCCAGCTACCTTCCCTTTGGTGGGGATGGGATTTGGAGTTCCCAGTGTCTTTGGCTTTGGCCTGGGGTGGGGGTGGAGTCCAAAAAGCCTGTATGGAATTAGCTTTAGGACATCCTTTTCCCCCTAACAATTCCCCCCTTTCACTTTTTGCCACCATTTCCATGGTGATGAAGATCGAATATATGGATGTTTGGATGCAGTCTCAGATGAACATTTTTACCAGGTTCCAGTGTGAAAGAAAACCAGTCCCTCCAGGTATTTGTCCATTGTGGAAAGCAAAAGTCCTCCATTCCTGGAAATATAGTTCTTCAGTTCAAACCCCCCCCAAAAAAAACATCTGGAGGCATTAGCCAAAACAAGACAGCAGATATGAAAAAATCACAGGAAAAAAATTTAAAAATGGTTCAACTGATGTAAAACACAAATTTTCTCAACCTTGATCCCAAACTTTTAACAGCATAGCAAAAGTTTGCAAACTAAATATACTTTTAAACCATTTTTCCTATTTTTGCATAAAATCACAGGGCAGAAAATAACTAACAGCAATTTTTAGCTGGCTTTGTTGAAATACTCCATATAGGATCAGAGCGAACCGGTGGCATCCGGTCGATGTAGGCTTTCGGTACAAAGTTGGTCTCATCAGACTCCACCTGTTAGGACATCCTTTTCCCCCTAACAATAGGAAAAATTAGGAATTCATGTGAGTTCCAGGAAAATAATGTCTTAAATTGATATGTCCACAGATGATAATGAGTGTGGAAATTTAACCCAGTCCTGTGGTGAAAATGCTAACTGCACTAACACAGAGGGAAGTTACTATTGTATGTGTGTGCCCGGTTTTAGATCCAGCAGTAACCAAGAAAGGTTTATCACTAATGATGGAACCATCTGCGTAGGTAAGTTCAACAGTCTCACTTAAAATTTTTACCTGTTTCTTATTGCTTATTACCTTTAGAGGTATATTAAATAATATTCTAATAAAATTCTGCAACTCCTTGAATACACCTTAGTTGTTGAATACTTTCAGAAAACTCTTTTACATTTCCAATGTTGTATAATAATTACTATGGGATATTTAGCCAAAGGTATAAGAAAAAGAAATTTTTGTTGAGAAAAATCATACATCTTACAAATTTATGAACCTGTGAACTCTAGCGTAGTGACCAAAACAGAGTATTTACCTTTAATATAATGTGCCAACATGAAAATTATCATTTGTATCACAAGATATTGATAAACTCTGAGATTCTGAGATGGGCTCTACATTTTCTTAGAAAATGTTCAGGGAGAACTAGACTCAGCCTTGGATCTTGCTATTTCCAAAGATACTTCAGTGAAATCTCACACACTGGAACTGAGTCATGAAAATTCAGTGGCTCAAGGTTTGCAAGGGCGTAGAGATTTAAACTGTGAGAAAATAATACTATTTTTATTGAATGATAATTTTAACTTGAGTATTTGCAGCAAATATTTTATTGAAATATAACATTAGAATATAGTTCAGAAATAAGAATCTATGAGGTTTTGCCCAGAAAATACAGCCACACTCTTTGTTCTTCTCAAGTCTTTACTACTATTCAACTTAGAAAGTTAATGTGTGTGTGTTTACCTTTCATATTAAAGTTCTAAATATGTAGCTCTGTAAGATTTACTAGAAATCTTCCAGAGAGTAAAGAAGCCTAATTGTAACATCTTAATCACTGGAATTTAATACAATTTGTGTTTCCATTCCCTCTTGTCTTTAGAAGGCATCTGTCTTTTCATCTGATATGTTTACTTGTACACATCTCAATTCACAAAGGGCTATGTTTCTCTGTTCCTGTTCCTTACAAGTAAAGAATTCTTAAATATAAAAAAAAAGGATGAATCACAGGCTCCAAAAACATACACACAAAGATGTCTGAATACCAACATTCTTTTTTTTAAAGATTTATGAATTTTATGCATTCAAGAATTGGGGTACAGTCCAGAGGTGTGGGGGTAAGAGGATTCACCAGAGACAGAGTGGGGAACAGAACAGGCAGATTGACTGAAATATACTGCTGAGGGGAGCAGCAGGCGAGACAGGAGAGGTCTGCTGCGCCATGTGTATCACCTCCCTGGTCAGGATCAAACTCATGCTGCAGTGACTGCAGGTAGCTTCATAGTGCTGCATCTTAACCCCTTGCACCACCAGAGAGACCCCTGAATACCAACATTCTATGGAGATGTAATACTTTTATAATTTAAGACTCTCCCAGTTTTCATTTCTTCCTGACAAAAATGGAGTAACCCCAAGTTTTTCCTGAATTCCCTTTTTAGCTCTTTCAAGTAATTAATAAACACAACCGTTATATTAAAACCCAATAAACAATACCCACTATAGCATCCTTCAGTTTCTACCTGTTTTGTTTGATGAATTATTCAGTGAAAAACTCATACTCTGGAAAGCTGTTATTTCTCACCAATTTCATTGTTTTAAAGATTAAGCTCTTTTGAAAATCAGAGCAGCTATTTTTTTTTTCCAATTCTTCAGCAATTTTCATTGTGCACTATTAGAATACTCAGGAAATTTGAAGAAAAAACCCAAATTCCATTCCTTTTCTACATTAGTGCTTCATCTTACAGTATATTACCTCTGATTTGAAATTTTAGCTGATCCTTAAATTTGGCATGCCTGTATTATAGTCACTAAAAACCTTCATAAATAATGAAAAACTACAGTTCAGGACAAGAAGTGATGCAGGTAAAATTGTTTACCTTTAGTCCATACTCAAATACTTTACCACAGGTAAAGTAATTTTGACACAGAAGGCTTTGGGTAAGATTTACCACCAATCATATTTTTCTTCCCCTTGGAAATATACTAAAATGGTATTTCAGTAAAATGGTACATCACCCAAGAAACGTATTTCCAGATTGACATTTCAAAATGGGGAAACAGGCCTTCAGCAGTAAGGGAATCCTCCCAAGGCCTCATGAGTAGAACTCAAGAACAACTTTGTGTTTACCATATGCTTAAGAGCAGTGTTTAATGCTTTAATTTTTATATCTTATTGACTTGGGTACTCTGACAACTTCAGAATTTTTTCTGGTTTTGAATAATGTTACCATTCAGTTTTGTCTTTGCAAATTACTTCCAGTAATTGAACATTTTATCTTTTCTCTGCAGTCTGCGAGTTAAATAACATTAGAAAATTCAGTTATTGATAAAAATTTTTAGAATCAGGACAATCATATGATTATGTTTTGAAAGAAGATTATGATAAAATACTGCTGGGCTGGCTTATTGTAGATATGAAAAACAAGCATATCCTTACTAATGAAAAAGTAGTGAATAAACTTTTTGATGTGCACAAGCAAATGATTGTTATGATGTGCTTACATTTAGCCAAATCAAGTTAAAAGTATTGTCGAGCATTTGTTTGATAATGGAAAAAGTGGGTCAGTTATTAAATATGGAAAGTCAATTGTAGCCTGACTGAAATAATTACATAGTAGCAATTTAGCTATCATTAAGATAGGGGAGAGAGTTCTTTTTCCTTTTTACAGCTCTGAGGAATACCAAGATGTGGTAATCAAGTAAGACACGCATTATCAATCTGTTTTCTCCAAAGCTACATATTCACAAGTTTCCTGCTAATAAAAAACACACAATATAAATAGAATCCCTCATCTTAATTTACCATTTACAACATGCATCTACTATATCTTAGGTACCACTATCAACATTCATAGACATTTATTCATTTGTTATTAAAAGGGACTCTTAAGTATTACCCAAGGTCACCCAGTTAAGGAATGTAAGAGTGAGAATTTGAATAAAGGTCTTCTACTATGTTAATCTGTATGGTTTTATTAGACCCAAATGTATTTGGCACTGAAAAAAAAAAACAAAACTGCAAGAGAAGTTAGTGTGCATCTTACTGTAAAATAGCAGTCATATTCATATTGGCTAAACCAATGTCATCCCATTTGGGGACCAGATATTCTTTCAGTATTTTATGGTTCTCTATATTTTGCTAGGTGGCCAAGGGGTATCAAGGATAGGATGAGGATAGTGGAAGCGAAGCTGTTGACTACTCTGGCACAAAGCCATTGTTCTCTCTCTCTCTCCTCTCTCTCTCTCTCTCTCTCTCTCTCTCTCTCTCTCTCTCTCTCTCTCTCTCTCTCTCTCTCTCTCTCTCTCTCTCTCTCTCTCTCTCTCTCTCTCTCTCTCTCTCTCTCTCTCACACACACACACACACACACGCACAGATGGGAGTGCTAGTGTAGCATTCCTTTTTCTTTGAAAGTAGTGAACTTGGATTTGTGGATAGAATACAATGTCAGTATATGGATTTGGCAGAAGATGGGTGTTTCTACCGTTTCTTCAGTCCTTAGATTGCTAATTGTCTTCATAAAACAAGTACCATGCACTTTCTTACTAATGGAAATTTTTTCAAAATCTGGCAAGATGCTTACTGTCATTTTTACTTTCCGGTACTGTGAGTTTTAGTGTTTTTCTGTGCCTTTATTGCATTTTTAAAGTAAGAAATAAGGATCAGCTTCATTTAAGATAACTAGCTAAATGGCATTTTAAATTGTAGTTTGATTATGCCCCTTTTTATGGCAAACAGTATTATGCCACTGTATTTGTTTTTTTAAATCACATTGTATATTTGAGATTACAGGTTTATTCATTAATCTAACATAGTGACTCCCTAAGATGTCAGAGCTGGGAACACAAAAAAAATTTGTATTACTTTAAGGTAATGATCTGTACTCTTCAGTTCTTTGGAATCATTCCTTATTCTGGCATAATATTTATACTGTATTTATAACTTTAAAATATTTTGCTATAGTATGTAAAATTTTAAATTAGGGATATAAATTATGTGAGTTTAAAACTAGTATTTTTATTGTGGTTTTGATATATGGCTACTAAAAATCTGAAAATTAATTCTGTATAATTGGTTATTTTATCTATGGTGGTTGTATATTAACAATTGCAGTAAAATATAATCAGAAAACAAAGAATAACTTTTAGTAAAGTTTAACGGAGTTGAATCACACATTATGCTGCATCCTAATTTTTTAACTTACAGCAAAAATGAAGCTTCAGAAATAAATGGGTCACTCTGTTATATTCCCCAAATTACTCTCAACTGAGTTGTGATAGTCAATTTAGTTTAAAATACATTTTAAAAATTGGGCTTTTTTTAAATTAAAACTAAATGGTCAATGATGGAAATTGATTTAATTATTTTATTGATTAATCATTCTATTCAGAAAACAATTCAACAGTTTAACCCATGAATAAATTTTTCAATGCACTGTCAAAATAGATTGACCAAATCAGAGTTTAATAATAATAATAAAAAAAAAGTGTACCTAAGTTTGCTCTCATTACCAATGGATCTGATTTTCCTTGCTTATTGTAAAATTTAATATGAATTCATTAACTTGACATAATAATGTTATCAATACATGGCTGAGGGATACCCTAAGACCCCAAACTGTTAAGAGGTGGCATGCTCTAAAAGGGTATGCCAAGTACACACAGAGGCAAAGGAAGCATACTTTAGTGTGAATGATTTTTAATAGAATTGATATGCAGAGAGAGAAAGAATTATTTCAAATAATAGTTTCCCAATAAATACCCCAAGTTACCCATCCCCTCATGGGTAAATGCACAGCCAAGCAGGGTGACACATGGCCCAAAGTGGGATCACCAAAGTCCAAAAGCTTGCCACAAGTCTAAGGTACCTTCTGACAAGGAACCACAACAAAGGAGTTAAGCAGATATCAGAGAGCTGAAACAGAAGGAGAGACTCAAAATTAACAATATCCCACATAATCCAACATTTGGTCAAGATATGGCCACAGGGACTTCCTGGTGGCACAGGGTGTTGAGCGCAGCACTGTGGAGCTGTTTGCAGCTTCCGAGGAGCTGTTTGCAGTACTGTGAAGCTATTCGCATCCACTGCAGCACGAGTTCGACCCCCAGCCAGGGAGGCAACCCACATGGCTCCCCAGACCTCTCCTGTCTCGCCTGCTGCTCCCCTCAGCAGTGAATTTTAGTCAGTCTGCCTGTTCTGTTCCCCACTCTGTCTCTGGTGAATTCTCTCTCACCCTCCCGCGCATCTGGCCTGTACCCCAGTTCTTGGGGAAAAATAAAGAAAAAGAAAAATATGTGGCTGCCACTGTCACTGCCAAGGACCAGAAGCAGCTTCCTCATGTGTCTGTCACCCATATGTTTCTTTTTATCTTCCAAATAGCTCTCCATGCTTCTCCGCCACTTGTGTCCTTCCATTTGTCTCCTCTCAGTCCTTTTTCACATGTATTCTTTTTGTTCTACCTCCCTACCTTGCTCCTTCTCAGCTGTCCTCCATTCAGTCTCGTTCATGGCGTATTGAGACTTGTAATCCAAGGGGCCTGCATGTACATAGGGGTAGGGAAAATGGCACCTATTCAGTGTCCCTCCCCTCTTTCTTGGAGATGTTTCTGTAACACTATTATCAAAAAGATAGCAGTTTATAAGCACTAAATTTAAAAAATTATTTTTTCAAATATTTTCAGATATAGATGAGTGCAGTGAATCAGTAGTCTGTGGTGATCATGCAGTGTGTAAAAACACGCTTGGTGGGTATATCTGCTCCTGCGAGGAAGGTTATCAGACATCGACAGGAAAATCACAGTTCACACCTAGTGATGGCACTTACTGCCAAGGTAAGTTATATTCAATTTTATGTATTATCGAGGAACTATGTAAAATATGTACTGCGATGTCATAAAGTATCAAAGAAGTACACCTTCCTTTTTTTAAAGATTTATTTATTTATGCATACAAGAACTGGGGTACAGGCCAGAGGTGCAGAAGGGGGGTGAAAGGATTCACCAGAGACAGAATAGGGAGCAGAACTGGCACACTGACTGAAATACACTACTGAGGGGAGCAGTGGGAGAGTCAGGAGAGGTCTGCTGCGCCATGTGGGTCACCTCCCAGGCTGGGGGTCGAACTCGTGCTGCAGCGGATGCGAATAGCTTCACAGTGCTGCATCTTAACCTCTTATGCCACCTGGGAGGCCCCACCTTCTTACAAATATATTTTATCATTGACAAAATGAAATTAGAGAAGAAAATATTGTCTTATTTAATGAAAGATATGGACCATGTATTTATGTACTTAACATACCCAAAGGAAACTGTTACCAAACACAAAGGGTTTGTTTCTTAGCATTTCTCAACCAGTTGACCAGACCAATTGAAGATTTGTGGGAAGAATTTATTACTTGAATCAAAAATGGAGACAGAAAAGACATTCTCAAAGCTGTTTCCCCTTTCTAAAAGGAATTAGTATTTTTGTGGGACTTTTGGTATTGGACAGGATGGAAGCAGGATGAAATGCATGAAATCTTGGGTGACTGGAGACAGTGTAACTTTGATGGAGTTTTGTAGAGTTGTGGGGTCCTTGGGTTCACTCTGGGAAAGGTTTCTCCAGAACTCCCATTTCCACAGCACGCAGCAAGTTCCCCAGGCGAGTTTCTCCATGAGACAGAGACATTAGATATATTTAAAGAGCAGGTTTATTAGGGAAATGGAAAGGGACAGGTTTGCTGAGAGAGGCCTGCATGGTCGCAGGTGGGCGGCCTTGAGGAGAGAGGCCTCCACTGAGGGAGGTCAGTGAAGAGAAGCCCCAGCATGGTACAGGTCACTGGCAGACAGGAAGCTGCTGCCCTGCAGAGGGAGAGAGTTGGTGGAAAGAGGCACCTGCACAGTCACAGGTGGGCAATGGGAGTGCTGCCCCAACCTGTGCAAAGACTGTACTGATAAAGTCCTTTTTCCTTTGGGAGGGGTCACTCCTCAATGGAGTGACCTGCTTGTTGCTGATGTTGGGTAACTGGCAAAACCAGGAAGGGACCAGAGATTCCAGGAAGGGACAGGCAAAACCAGGTGGGCCCAATCTCCATATCTTTAACCTTAGGCCTGTGCTCCACTCCCTGTAGGAGTCTGATCCTTCTTGGGTCTCATGCCTTGTGATAAGGCACTGATGCCTAAGGGTCACGACCTCTACAGTTAGGTTAATGGTCATGTTATTTCCCTCGACCCCCACCTCCTTTTGAGTCAGGTTCTGGTCTTGGGGCACCTCCTTTTCAGTCTATTTCTGTCCTCCATCAACTTCATAACCAGATCATGCTCTTCATGAATCTGTTTAGAAAATGGCAAGATAAGTGACTCCTTAGGCAGCCACACTAATATGCAAATAGATGTTAATGAACCTAAGCTAATTTTAGGTCACTGAGTGCCCTCTTTGTGTATGTTGCTTTAGAGTTTAACCAGTTTGGGCTAGAATCTATAGCCAACCCTTAACTAAACAGCTTTAAAATAGCTTTAAGGATTCTGATAATGCAAACTCAGCATTGTCAGTCTTCTGTCTCCTGGGAAGTAACTACAATCTTCTATCTTCCACAAAATATTGTGTATTTTAGTGGGTAAAATAAAAGCATTTTTATTATGAATAAAATTTAAAAATAATAGTTTAAATGTTAACAAGAAAAATGAAAATTGTTAAGAATTTTTTTAATGTTTAAATAAATGAGAAAAAAAATCTCTGGAACCAACACAGTCATCTCAGAAAACAATATTTTTTAAAGAATATTATTATTTTCTTTTTTACAGAAAATGTGAATCCAGACTGCCTTTTAGATAGTGCATGTATCACTGCAACAATTCACAAAACTTTTAAAAAAGTAAGTAGATTAGTTAAATTGCATGTTTTAAAATACTGGCATTTTAGTTTCAGTTAAAATGCTTCCACTGTCACATTTAAGAAAAATAACAGTCAATCTTTGTATAGAGTTGAAATTATCTACAAGTAGAGATCTAAGTATTAGGTTTGAGTCACAAATAGGATTAGTTTGAAATCCCCAAAGTATTAAGGATGATTTTTATGTATTTATCTCATCTTACATTTTTACTATTTGGTATACTTACAAATTTATTTCAACAAAAGAAGTTCAAAAATAAAATAATAAAAACACACTTTGACTCCAGGTCCACCCCAATGTTCTAAGTAGACATAGACATGAACACAATTGATTTTTTACTTCAAAGTGAATATTTCAAATAATAAATAAAGTAGGACACTTATTTGAATGTGATTGAAAGTATGAATCTCAACATGAGTAGCTATTAGTGAAAGTAAAATTACATTTTATCTCATTATATAAAGAATTTTCTCTGGCTCATTAAAATCTAATTCAAATTGCTAAGTTATAATTTATTTTAATTTTTGAAAGTTAATTTTTAAAAACATCAGTTTAAACATGTTCTATTTCTTTTATGAAATAACTCCTAAGTTTTTGAAGTTATTTGCTAAACATTTATAAATAATCTCAGATTTAAGTGCTGCATACTTTGGTTGAGGTTTAGTTGGTTATGTTACAGATGTATAGGGCAAGAAAACCAAATTCACAATAAATCTGACATACAGACTTTATTCCTGAAAAGATCCTATCGTACTCTAAGCTGGTTTCTTTTTTCTGCACTCATTTGTGTTCAGCTTAGAAGCATAGAACCTGTGGCTTTGCTACAAGAAGTCTATAAAAATTCTGTGAAAGATCTTTCACCAATGGATATAATTACATATACAGAAATATTAACTGAATCATCCCCATTACTGGGTTACATGAATAGCACTAACTCAGCCAAGGACACTCTTTCCAATTCAACACTTACTGTAAGTATGTTGAACTTTAACTACTAATTTAATTTAAATTTAAATTTTTCCTTATATTAACAATTCATGTATTATTCTATCATCTTAAAAGACACCCTTTTTTCCAACAGGAGTTTATAAAAACTGTGAATAATATTATTCAAAAGGATACATTCATAATTTGGGACAAATTATCTACAAATCTTAGAAGAACTCATCTTACAAAACTTATGCATACTGTGGAACAAACTACCTTAAAGATATCTCAGAACTTCCAAAAGATTACTCAGTTTGATACTAACTCAAGTGATATAGGTAAGAAGTCAAGGTCAATTTTAAAGTATTAGTGTTTCCAATCAAGTCATTCTCAAAAAGGGAAGAACGTATTTAAATGCTGTTGATTAAACTGGCAGTTTATTAATTTAGAAATAAATGGTGAATAATATTAATGAAATACAAGAAAAAAGAATGGGTATATAAGAATTGCTACCTTTTTACCATCTCTACCTTTCCTATTCCTGAAATCCTTAGCATTTATGCTCAAAGTATATTTCTCTATTGTCATTTTGACTCAGTCATCTCACAACTTGTTAGAATGCAAATTGACCAGTGATAGCTACGATGGATTTTGTGGATATAGTATATTTAAGTTTCACTTTGGAATCCTTTGCTTTTTGATAATATGAAGCTATCAGCGTAGTAAATTAGAATGTTTCCTGCTTCATACAATCACACTTAAAACATTCAAAATCTTGGATCAAGTTGAGGATACCTATAAAATTGCTCTGAAAAGCGAGATACATTTTCTGAAATAATCATTGCATACATATATATTTTTTTCCCTGGGTGACATCCTTTTATGCAACAGTAGATATTCAAAAATTATTAGTTCATATGGATTCACCTCTTACTCAAAATTAAAGTATCAAAACTTGTGACTAATATTTGGGAGCCTTACATTTCCATGATGTTCCTGTATGATAAAGGTCAAAATATACCAGGTATGGAAATTATCACTCAAGAATTTAATTCAGTGACTCTCTATATAGTATGCTAAACTGTAGATACTATCCTCTAAGATATTGTAGTAGCTTGTCTTTGATTTAGTTGTTATGATTTATGGATCCCTTGCATACATACATATTTTGTCTTTTACTTGATTCAATAAAGACTAAATTAACTTTGTGTGCAATATGAAAAATTTAAAAAAACAGCAAAAAGAGTAAAACTTTATCAGATTTAAGGTAGAAATGCATCTCTTTAGAAAAATTTATATATTTAAAGTAAATTTTAAGATATAAATTATAATGTTCAAACATGTCCAGAATATATTCATTTTGAATATATCCTTCGAAATAACAAGTTAAAATACAGTAATGGTGAATGAAATTGTCTCTGATAAACAAATTGACTAAACTAATTTCAGAGAATTTATGATTTTCATTACTTTGTTTCAGCCCTCAAAGCTTTCTTTTTTGATTCATATCACATGAAACATATTCATCCTCATATGAATATAGATGGAGATTATGTAAAGATATTTCCAAAGAAAAAAACTGCATATGATTCAAATGGTAAGACTTTGACAATCTTGTATGCAACGTGTCAGTGATTTGCAATAAGTAGTGATCCTGCATTTGATTATCATATATATAAATATATACATGTATGTATACCTACATGCATAGAATATGTGTGGTTTTCTATAGAAAAAATATTTGATATTTGTATACAGAATTTCTATATTTTTACTTGAAATTTTCATTCTAATAAAAATGTATGGGGATAACTTTTTATAAATTTATGATTGTTGAGCTAAAGTTGGTTTACATTGTTGCCTCTTAGGGACCTTCACAGGTATTACATTGGCTATGTATATTGCTTGGGACAGCATGGCCATTTTTAACAATGTCTTCCAATCCATAAGCAAGGAGATCTTTGCATTTCCTCATGTCTTCTATTTCTTTTAACAATGTCTATAGTTTGCATTGTATATTCACATCTTTTGTTAAGTTTACTTCTTGGTATTTGATTATTCGTTTTGCACTTGTGAATGGATTTGTTTTCTGGATTTCTTTCACTTCTAATTTGTTGCTTGCATACAGTACCCATACACTTTAAATTGATTTATTATTAATTTAGGTTTTTAGTGGAATCTTTTGCAGTCATTCATCTGCACATAATGATAGGTTTACGGTTTACTTCTTCTTTACCAATTTGTAGTCCTTTTGTATCTTTTTTTTTTTTTTTGCCTCATTGCTCTAGCTTGGACTTCTAATATAGAATTCAGGGAGTTAACAAAGAAATCAAGCCTGACAAGCTTTTCCTTTCACTTAACCTGATATGAGCAAGCACCTACTCTCTTAATTTTATCATTTATCTGCTCTATTAGAAAGCAATCAGCTGAGAGTGAAATTTACTTTAAGTTTTGTTGTTGCCATGTAGGTCAAAATATATTACACAAGGAAAACATGAATTTTAATATTTTATCAAAGAATATGTAAATGTCCATAGATACAAATGAAAATATGTGTAATATACCTGTCATATATTATATATAGACATCATTTTGCAAAAGGACAAATTGTCTTTATTGTTAAAAAAATATGTTGTGCATTCATTTTCAGAAAACCTCTTAAAAACTTTTTAATCTTTTTTCTTACTTATCAGTGTTATACTATCCATTCTTTTATGCAGCTGTAAGAAACAGATGGCTATAAAACAAAGCAAAAATAACTAAGCCATACTTCCACTGAACCCATATCTCTTACCCTATTATATCACATTCTAATTAACCAAGCACACATATAATATTTAGGAGTAAGGCCAAAGAATGTGTTAAACTGTTGCAGACAATTTTAGTAGTGTTTAGAGGTTAGGAATAAAGACATTGAAAATATCTATCATGGTGACAGATGATCAAATTGTCTTAGAATTAATATCTCTAAGAGAACTTGTCTGAGTGTATGGTAGGTTTGTTATATTTAATAATCATGCATGCAAACTCTGACATTTGAAAGGGACAGTAATATAAGCTCTTGAGAAAGTACAGAGAAAATTTGTTTTCTTCAAGGTTGTCCTGTAAAAATAAGGACAAGTCTAAAAACAAACTAGTCAAACCCACTTAGTAGCTACAGGTAATTTTCATTTATTAATAAAATCCATAAGTATAATGTGTCAATTAGTTAAAACCTGCATAATGTCATTAATAGGAAAATAAAGAAGGTATATGAAGGCACAAATACGAGTATTAGAAAATAAGGGAGGGTTAAAAAGGAGAATAGGATTCAATTCTTTGAACTGTAGTTTTAACATAAAAGATAATATATTTCTGTTATTTATCTTTAAATTACTTGTGAAATTGGGGTAATATTTTAGATAACAAAGTAGAGCAGACTGGGACGCCCTATTAAGCAGTGTGTTTTTAGTTATTATTAAGTAAAAATAATAATAAAACAGTTTGGGAACAATGATTCTCTTAGGTGTTCATTGCAGTCTACATGGAAAAATTTGATCATGCAATTAAACATCAGTAAAAACCATAATTCCTCCCAATTCAACAATTTACCAATAGCTTGAAGTGCTATGATTGGGCCGCTATAATAAAACAGTTTATTATTAATGTCATTCAAAAGAACAGAAGTAAAAAAAAAATAGGCATAAAGAAGAAAAACCACTAAAAGGGAATCTATTAGCAAATGCATATAAATAATAATTCTGAAATAAAACCTTGAAAACTTAACACCATAATTTACACTATTTAAATACATGTTTTAGACATTGTACTGAAAGGTATGTTAGATATATTTTGTCCTTAGAAAAGATATGGTAATATTAAAAGTTATAAAAGATTTCATAGGGCAAAAAAGACTGTAATAAACATTGTAAAGAAAAAAAACAAGGAAGTATGGATGATTGTTAAGTAAGAAATAACCTATTTTATTAAGTGATTACAAATTTTTAGTCCCTACAGTTGAATGAACCCCTACTTTACTCAAAGGAAATATAAGTCTGATAAGAGAATTAAAAGATAGATCATGATTAGAATTAGTGAGAAGTCAAAGGAATTAAAGAAGATTAGAAAATGATGAGAATGCATAAATACTAACACAGTATTCATGAAGGTTGTAAAAAGAGATGATTTTATCTGTCAAGAATCATCTTTTACCCAAAGTCAAACTTCAAAGTTGAATAAGCATTTCCCTTAACAAAGAATGGTGGAGAACAGATTTCTAAAATCCATCTTATCTTTTTTGGTGCTTCATTTGACTTTGGACCATCACCTATTGCAATCTCTGAGAATCACTGTTGCATGAACTGGTTCATCTGGACTAGGTCAAGTTTATCTAAAATGTTTCCATGTCTTGCTTCAAGCCCTGGTCAGTCCAAAGCAGAGTTGTAATCTCTTGGAGACAACATAATTTCTCTAGCCCAATGATGATGCACTAAAATAATTTCATTTTTTGATATAAATTTTCTAAGTTGGAAGTTAAGAAAAATACTTTACATAATGTATCTTGCTTTCAGAGAGGATCATAACAATGCCTCTTACAGTGCCTTTTTAAATTGAAATAGAAAAAGTCAGTAGCTCACATAACTTTATCCAAAGAATATTATTTATTAGTGTGATATTGCAGTGTGGAAAGTTCTCATTCTGCATCATAATCCTTTGATTTTTGAATGATATTATCAACAATTGTGATTAATTTATGTTTTTCAAATTATTTGTTGGTGTCACAAATTTGAGGGGGAAAATGAATGTGATAGGATGCTTCCTAAATTGTCGCAGAAAGCTAAAGTAAGCATGTTTCTAGTTAATAAGTATAACATTAATGACACTAATATAGCATCTTGAATTTTACGGAGGACTCACATATTGTTTAATTTGATCCTTACCTTATTCTAGTAAGTAGCTAGATTGTTACTACCATCATTTTATAAATGAGAAAGGTAAAATCTGAAATAGTTAATTACTTTGACCATGATCATTTAGATAGAAGCAGTAACAAATCCAGAACTTCTGATTTCAAGATTAAATTCTGAACTTAAAGTGTTTAATTTAGTGTCTGTAATTCTGTACAACAAATTGACAATGAATATGAACTAAGTTATAGCTGAATGTTAAAAGATCTAGATGTTGAGTTGTTGACACACTCAATCTCAGTGATAATTAACTGCTGCAAAAAACTAGGCCATTGAGACCATTAACATAGGTGCAGTGTCCAGTATAAAGGAAAAGTATTCACGTGATAGTCCATACTGAGCAGGCTACATTTTAGTATTGGTTTATATACTGACACACTACATTTCGGGAATATCAGGATGTGTGGATAAATTGCTGTCTCACGATATAATAAATTCTCTATCCTGAATCTGCATAACCATATGTCATTAACATTAAATAGGAAACACTTCAGGGGGCTTGACGTTGAACTCAGTGGTATCTCACAACTCAATCAAATCTAAACTTTCTTAATACTGTAAGTCTGTGATAATTCCAGCCCAACATCTTTCTAATTTATGTATTTGTATAATGAAGTACTAACTCAAAAGGTTATCTTTTACATGAATACACTTCACACCTTGGTTCTTAATCAAGACATAAATAAATTTATCTAAGACTATTTTTGTCCTAAATATAGTTTATGTAAAGAGGATACTGAAACAAAATCATCAGTTTCAGTATCTGAGAATTTGTCTCAATATGACTAATGGTGTATGCATAAATTTATTAAAAGCCACATTGCAGTACCTGGGCATTTATATGACTCCCTTATATTGTAAATTGTCTATTCAATTTTTATGTTTAAGAGTTTTAGTATATTTTTACAAGAAGTTCACTAAATATACTTATTTGATTGATAGGCAATGTTGCAGTTGCATTTTTATATTATAAGAATATTGGCCCCTTGTTCTCATCATCTGACAAATTCTTATTGGAACCACAAAGTTATGACAATTCTGGAGAGGAAGGAAAAGTCATCTCTTCAATAATTTCAGTATCAATTAGCTCAAATCCACCCACATTCTATGAACTTGAAAAAATAACATTTACATTAAGCCACACGAAGGTAAGTTGTTTTTCCAGTGACTCTTGGTTCTGATTGTGAAACATTCAGAGAAGTGGGCATTTTTGTTATGTGTCATTTATTTATGAGTTCTTTAGTTTAAAAATACGCATTCAAAATTAAAATTAAAAATTAAAGTGGCTTCGGGGCCTTCCCGGTGGTGCAGCGGTTGAGCGCTGGGTTGCGAAGCTGCCCGCAGCCTCTGCAGCGCCGGTTTGATTCCCGTCTGCTCCCAGGCCACCGGAGGAGGGTCCCACATGGCGCGCAGACCTCTCCTGCCGCCCGCTGCTCCCCTCAGCAGTGTGCTTCGGTCCTTCTGCCTGCTCTGCTCCCTGCTCTGGCTCTGGTGAATTCTCTTACCCTCCCGCGCTTCTGACTGTACCCAGTGCTTGTATAAATAAATAAATAAATAAATAAATAAATAAATAAATAAATAAATAAATAAATGAATGAATGAATGAATGAATAAATAAATAAATAAATAAAAAAAATTAAAGTGGCTTCAACTATTTTTTATGTAAAATATCCTTGTTTTTTCCAGTGCTCTTTAAACTTTCTAATAATTACCAAAGAATTTCACGTAAGTGATTCTTTGAAATTAACTGTGTGTTAGTTTTACTTTTAAGTACATTGCTCACTTTAGAAGTCTCCAACCATCAAGGAATGTATTTTCTCCTTCCCTTGTATTTTTTCTTATTTATCTTTGTTAGAAGATAGGATCAGTGATGCAAATGCTTTTTTCTGTTTCGCTCAGTGGTGTTGTTCAGCATCTGGATTAATGATTAATTTCTAGTGTAGACTCAGTAAACATGTATTGTCTAAAGAACATGATAATATATGTTATATGACATATATATGACAATAATATGACAATTATATGACAATAATATATGACATATATTATCATGTCATGCACTGTTCTAATTGACAGACAAAACCTCATTTGATAATAAATAATTCTTATAGCAATTTAGTGAGAAAGGATTGAAAAATACAGAATTGTTGCAATAGAAAGTTCGGTCCTACCTAGCAGCAATCTTCATTTATTAGCATTTCATGACTTACTCTTTAGGCAGGATTTTAATGAATGATATGCAAAATAGTATTTTGAATACAAAAAAGCATTACTGCATATTATTTTCCCTCTTTTTCATCCATAAAAATGTCTCTTTTTTAGACCACAGATAAGAATTGGAGTCAATGTGCATTTTGGAGCTACTCTCTTGACATCATGAATGGTAGTTGGTCTTCAGATGGCTGTGAGCTGACATATTCCAACGAGACCCACACCTCATGCAGCTGTGACCACCTGACACATTTTGCGATTTTGATGTCCCCCAGTCCTTCCATTGTAAGACAATTCTTCACTTAATATTTTTAAGTCTAGATTTGTTTTTTCTTTTTTTCATGTCATTCAGGGAATCATTTTTTTAAAGAATTATTTTATTTATTTATGCATGCAAGAGCTGGGATCTATGCCAGAGGTGTGGGGTGTTGAAGGATGAGAGGATTCACCAGAGACAAAGTGGGGAGTAGAATAAGCAGATCTACTTAAATACACTGCTGAGGGGAGCAGCAGGGGAGACAGGAGAGGTGGGCTGTGCCATGTGGGTCAGCTCCCCAGGGGCTGGGGATCAAACTCGATGCTGCAGTCGCTGCAGAGAGCTTCATAGTGCTGAAACGTGACCCTTTCTGCCACCAAGGAGACCCAGGGAATTATTTTTATGTTTTCCTTGTTTTTTCAGTAACACAATTAATTAATAAAAGTCTATTGTGTTTGTTCTTGATTTCCTATCTGTGTCCTGTGACATATGTAGTCAGAATTTTAGGTTATTTTCAGCATAGGACTCATCTAGTCTAATATATAGTAGACTGTTTAAGTTCATTGACTTAATTTTTAATGCTGCTTTAAAAGGCCACTTATCCTATTTTCATGTAACATGAACTTACAATGAAAATTTAGTTAAAAATATTTGGTAGCTGATCAATAAGTATTAATACATTGATATTACAATTGATATTACAATGTATTAATAAACATGATGTCATGTTTAAATAGAATAGAATGCCTCAAGATTTTTAAACACAAAACTCTCTAAAGTGAATAGTTTCATAATAGGTATATTATATCAATAATTTCTTGCTTTTTCTGTTATGAAATTTCTTACTTTGTATCTTCACATCTTAATCTTCATTTGATTCTAAGTTTTTTCCCACCTGTATTTACAGTGTATCAAGTGTATTTAGTGGTCAAATAAATCTGTCTACTCATAATATCAGTCATAAAGTTTTTTTCTGAATGTTAAATAAGCAAAAGCTTGTAATCTGCATATTCTGTATATTAAAAATAACTTCTTCTGGTTAAAATAACACCAGTCTTTCCCATTTCAAAGTCTCTCAACTATACTGTATCAGTGTTTTATGTATAATATATATATATATATGTATGTATCCAGCATTTCTAATACCTGTTTAATATGTTTTAGATGAATTGCTGCACAGAAATGAGATTTGTTCTGATCACTGACAAATCTGTTTTAATTAACCATATTCACATTATAATAATGAATTGCCTTTCTAATATCATGAAACTGATGATGATAACATTGTTAAACCATATATTAATGCATATTATGCCTTGAATAAATTACTGGTTACATAACTGTTACATGATTTATATCAGATTTCTCTGAATATTGAGCATTTTTGAAAGTACAGTATTTTCTTATCTTAATGCATATTTGTATTTTTATATTTCATGAACCTTTTGATTAATGTTTCACCAAAAAGGAAGTTTATTATATGTTCTAGTTTTTTGAAAAGTTACCAAGTTATTCTCTTAACAGCTTTATTATCATTTTCCCTTAGGGTGTTAAAGACTATAATATTCTTACAAGGATCACTCAACTAGGAATAATTATTTCACTGATTTGCCTTGCCATATGCATTTTCACTTTCTGGTTCTTCAGTGAAATTCAAAGCACCAGGACAACAATTCACAAAAATCTCTGCTGTAGCCTATTCCTGGCTGAACTTGTTTTTCTTGTTGGGATCAATACAAGTACTAACAAGGTATGCAGATCCCCCTACTCACTATGTTCAATTTCTGAATTTCTGTTTTCCCAAACATATGTGTCACAGAAACATGAATTATAATTGAAAGCTTAATGGGAGAGACATGTATTATGCATTGTTTTTAAGCTGTCCTTTCTAATTTTTTAAAAAATTTATTTACTTATACATTGGGGTCCAGGCCAGAGATCTGGGGATGAGAGGATTCACCAAAGACAGAGTGGGAATGGAACAGGCAGACTGGCTGAAATACAGTGCTGAGGGGAGCAGTGGGCAAGGCAGAAGAGGTCTGCCATGCCATGTGCGTAGCTCCCTGGACATCCGGGAATTGAACTCCTGCTGCAGTGGCTACGCATAGCTTCACAGTGCTGTGCTTAACCCTTTGTGCCACCAGGGAGGCCTTGGCCTTTCTAAATTTGATGATGCTAACATATATAAACACCCTGCTTATCAATTTCATTGATTAATCTCTCGCATCATGATGCATTATTGAGACACATGTTATTGACTAGAACAGTGCAAGGGAACATGCATACAAGAATGGTTTTCCTGATACAGCAGCTGGAACTCTAAGTCAATTGCTCTCCTATCAGTTGGAGATTAGAGAAGTGCATTTCACCAGCACAAAATATGAAATTGCCTCCATATTTCCATTCCTATTAGAAATCTTTCTAGGACAGAAACTGTCTGTAGCTTTTCAAGGTTTTTTCCTGAGAAAAGTGCCACAAAGCATCTATTCTAAACAGTATACATTAGACCATGAACTGCATGCCTGTTTTTTTAATTTTGCAGTGGTATTAACAAGTTTCAATTTTATCTATACCTCAGTAGCCTTCAGTGCCTATTTCTGTCAACTTTATCCCACCATCACCATCACCTTAAAACAATTCTTTATAGTTTTTATCAATTCACTCTGTCACTTATCAAGTTCTTCTCATTTTCAAGTCATATTTCAGGTCTCACATCCTCACTAAAGTGGTTCCCAAATTTCACCTGAGACCTATCTATCCTCCAACCTTATTTTGTACTCTCCAATATATATTTAGAATGTAATCTCATTAAGTTTAAATTATGTTTTAACAAGTATAATAAGTATGTGTTTATTATGCTACCTCTCCAGTAATAGACAGCATTAGTTGATTACAGAAGAGTGTAACAATTGTTTTTCTGTTGTCTTTAATGTCCAGCTCCAGTTCTAGGTGTGAAGGAAACATTTACAAATAATATTTAGCTGAAATCCATCTTAAGATAATCTTACAACAAAGTGATTCTATATTGAATATTTTTGCAAAATATATCACCATTTATCTGTTTTATAAATTTAGTGTGTCACTTAAGATATTTTTATGTTTCATTTAGCATAGAATTAGCAATAATTTTCATTCTTTGAGCATGAATAAAATAAAGGAGAGGATAGGCATCTCCAAAACAAAAATCAACTCAAGTCATAACATGCTCACTTAGATATTATGCTTTACTTGTAACTAATCCACACTTTATCACTTAATAGATATAGATGATAAGTATAAAACTCTCTGGACATGAACTTATTCTATCACAGACTTGGTAAGTGCTTTACGTTGATGAAGCACAGTTCCTTTAAATCAACTGGAGGTGGATATATTAAAAAAAAAAAAAAAACAGACACTTGACAGGAATATTTTAATGTGGTGGAGCATTATATAAAGTCACACAATTCATAGAGAATTTTGAGAATTTATGTTATGACAATGTTGAAACAAACATACTGATGGTTTCTCTTTTTTTATTTCAAGCTCTTCTGTTCAATCATTGCCGGCCTGCTGCATTACTTCTTTTTAGCTGCTTTTGCCTGGATGTGCATTGAAGGCATTCACCTCTATCTTATTGTTGTGGGCGTCATCTACAATAAGGGATTTTTGCACAAGAATTTTTATATCTTTGGCTATCTCAGCCCGGCAGTGGTAGTTGGATTTTCAGCAGCATTGGGATATAGATATTATGGAACCACCAAAGTGTAAGTTAAAATGACCTCATAAGTATTTGAAATATAATTCTGAATATGCCTTGTATTGAAAATTTTGCTTTATTGAAGTACATACAAACATATTTACAGATTTTATCTCTAACTTACTTTTCAGATGTTGGCTTAGCACAGAAAACAACTTTATTTGGAGTTTTATAGGACCAGCATGTCTAATCATTCTTGTACGTATATTTAAATTTGTTATTAGAATTCAAGAAGTGATGATTAAATGGAAGTTAAAATTCCCAGCAACTGAGCATTGGTCTGAGGGACAAATAATTTTGAGCACTTTACAATGTATAATTTATTAACATTTTGCATGTTACATCACTAATGAGAAATATGTATGTACATTTAAAAGTCAGAGCAACTATAATTCATTCTTGGGGGAGATTTATTTCTGTTTATTTCTGCATAACATACAGAAAAACATTTTTTACTTATCAGTAGTATCTTAGCATACTTCAACATTGAGAGTGTACTCACAACTGATAATCTGGCATTTTAGATGTTTACGTTATTTAATCTTTTATGATCAGTGATCTTTGAAAATTAGACTGTCATCTTTATAGTTTTATCAGCCTTTTGTACCCTATCATCATCATGAAAGTGATTTTAAACTAAATTGCAACGTCAGAGAAAAGAACCCACTATTTCTCATGAGCAGACAAGTTATATATTGATAGTCCTATTTCAACAAAGAAGAGGGCCTTTTAATTCTTACTGGAAGTGGTTTCAAACCTACGAATTTGGCAGGTGTTATATAAATAGAGACTTTCTATGTGTCTCAAGAGCATTTCTAAGTGCTGTAAGTTTTCAAAGCCATTCTGAATATAATAGTCTGTCAATGAATCTGGGAGGTCTGACAAGGCTCTAGAATGGAATGAATTGTCAGTGGAGAAACTGTGACAATATTTTGGACAACTTTGTACCATATGTTTTGACCATAAGTTAGCTATCTTTTTTGAATTTTTTTGTCTCTCACTTTTTCCCACGTGCTTTTTATGATTACAAGGAAGCTGCTATGTGTAGAAAGACTTGAAATGCAAAGCAGATTTCATCAAGGTTTATTTTTTTTAATGGTATGGATAAACAAGATATATTCAGAGACTAAATTTCTTAATCATCATAGAAAATTGTGTACACTTCTCACAATAAATCTAGCAATTTAAAAAGAAACATTGGCTAGGTTTCAGGTAAAATAATTTCAGAGTTAATTTATTACAAATCCAAAATAGTCAATCCGCATAATATTACTAAATGGAATCACATTCACATATTTTCTTATCTGATCTCTTATGAATATTTTGTGTGAAGACACTAGTCTCATATTCTGATTTTACTGGTTTCTTCTCTATTGGACGATCACTGATATTGTTTTGTATAAATGAAAGTTCTATGGAACAGAACTTCAGTAGTGAGCTGAAAACTATACTAAAACAGGAAAAAATAGGAGTTTATTTGTCTGAAATAAGACAGGGAAAGTGTTCCTTGAAATTGGTTTTGACGCTCACTTATATAAGGAGAAAGATAAATTTGAATTATTTTATAGTAATGTCCACAGACTGTAGATGGACTTGTCTAAAAATAAGTCCTGCAAACTTTCCTAGAAGCCTAAATGAACAATATCATGTGCCATGATGTTTTGACCAGATAAATTAAGGAACCAATTTATCCTTGATATAGAATGATAATCATTCCATTTATAAAGGCCAGGCTAATTAAGAAATGGATGAGGCACTTCAGTTTTATTCTAATGCTAAATGATGTATATCATTTTATTATCTTTAAAAACATAAGAAATTCCTTAAGTGATTGTGAGTTGAAGTGAATTTATTTACTCTAGTTATCCATGACTTACTGTGTTAATGCTGACATATCACAGAATATTATTTTTATGTGATACAATGTTAAGTGATACTTCCCATTGTCCCAGAATGGTATCTCATTCAAATATAAGTAAAAGAAATATTTAGCACCAAACATTTGAATAAGAGTCACTAACAGTTCAGGTCCAACATTCCCCAATGGGTCTTATAAAAAATCCAGTAAGAGGACTGGAGAAAGGATCCCACAGGATAGTAACACAGGTTTTGGAGCACAAGTGGGGAGCACAGTGTTCAATAAGAGAAGTTTTTCTTTTTCCTGCCAGTGCACTGTGTTGCACAGCATTTGAGGCCACAGTTCAACTAATTGCAATGTTATTTTCTGCAGAGCAATATTTACATTGCATTCGCTGCGTGACGACCCTTAGTCTGCAAAGCTACATGGCCTTCTTTTTTTGGTCATCTAGAACATAAAAGTCTTTAGTAAGTCTTTGATAATTTCCTGTGTATTTTAATTGACCCATTAATAAAGACCATGGAAATAAGTGAGGCAGGAAGAAACTACATGACTTCTCTGTGCCCTGGATTCCTCATATGTAAAATGAAGATAATGATGCCTGCCCTCTACAAGACTATAGCCATCTCAAAAAGAAACACTTTAGAAAATGTACCAATCTTTTAAAATTAAAAAATGAAAATGCACAGTAACTTGGAGCATAGTTTTTGGTTCTCTTCTTTCTATCTTTTATAGTAAAATTTAATGTAAAAATTAATACAATTTTAAAACCGTGATTTGCACATTAGAAAATTGTATGCAAGGTTTGAATTTTGGCCAATAGCATGAATGTGTGTGTGTGTGTGTGTGTATGTGTATATTTAATACAGACCCTAACTTTTTTTTAAAGTATTGGCACACAAATGTGTCAGCATTTGTTTAATTACAGCAAGATAATATTATGTTTTTATTACTTAATATAATTTGTTTAAAATGTTTAGTATACTCTTCTAGAAAAAAATTGTCTATAATAAAACAAAGTGTGAAATATAGAGAAAATCAATATAAGCTTAATAGAATACATACATTTATTTCACAAAATAAAGACAAAATATAAGTGAATCTTCAAATTAAAATAAATTTAAATTTAAATTAAATTTCTGCTGCCTGGTCTTAACTGAAAGATAAGATCATTTTCAGGCTTTCTCCGAACAAATCTGGGAAGACTTGTACTCTAGAGAAGAAACCTCTTAGAACAGGCAATAGCTTTCATTTTTACATGGAATCCTTATATTTCTTCTATATAATGAAATTCCTAGTAAGTGATATTTGCCCATTTTTATGAATGGAGCCCAGAAGCATGTGTACTTTGGGATTTTGATGTAAAATGACTTAAAGACAATGTGTAAATGAGTAGGAGCTGAATTAGTTCTGCACAGGTCCTGTTTCTGTCCATAGGTATTTTGTTTCAAAGGGATATTTAAACTTTCAGTCTCCTTTGATAACTGCTATTACTTAGGTATTTGAGCAACAATGTTTCCTGCATTGATCAAATAAAAATACTTCCTCAGGTGTTCACCCATTAATCTTAAGGATCTCTTAGAATTCTGAAGAATGAACCAATGACCCCACTGAGTCTATCTACAAATCACTACATTTAGAATGTTTTCAGATTGTCACTCTATGAAAAGATCCCTGGCCTGCTTTTGAAAGATTGAGCTATACAATAAAAAGACTTCTAAATCTTTTTAAAGCAAGCTGCAAACTGTAGATAAATTTCCATAATTTATTTCTTTCCTCAGTATTTTTCATCTTTAATGCTGAATACTATCAACTAAAACTTGTGCCAGTGATTAGATTCTAGTACTCAAATGTAAAGAGCTTGTGAAAATCATTTAACTTTTAAGTAGAATTTAAGTTTTTCATAAACATGTTCAGTATTGAAGAATATAATGTGCTTGATTGATGCAAATACTAATTAAGCTATGTCTAAATAAGGCATTTTCTTTAAAAATGAGAACTTCCATTTGAATTTAAATCACAACTCTTATAATTGTTTCTATATTACTACTCTTCCCCACTTCTTTTTAGATTTGGCCAGAATTCCACTCATTTTTTTGCAGTAGCCTCCTAAGTGTTCCTTCTCCAACTATAATCTCTTACTCCCCTTTCACCTGCAAAAATCTATTAAAACCTACACAAAAATGAACCTTCACATAACACTTACAAAATGGATCATATCTATGTGTGTTTATTAATTTTGATATATTCTTTTTTTTAAAATTTATTTATTTATGCATATAAGAGCTGGGGTACAGACCAGAAATGTGGGGGTGGGGGTGAGAGGATCCACCAGAGACAGAGTGGGAAGCAGAACAGGCAGACTGACTGAAATACACTGCTCAGGGGAGCAGCGGGCAAGAAAGGAGAGGTCTGCTGCTCCATATGGGTTGCTCCCTGGCCAACTGGGGATCAAACTCATGCTGCAGAGTCTTCGGATTGCTTCATAGTGCAGTGCTTAACCCCTTATGCCACCAGGGAGGCCCCAATTTTGATATATTCTGAATTATAGTTTTAATTACACAAATTGCCCAAAATTGAAAGAATCTTATGCAATTAGGTAAAGTTAAAAAGTGAGCCTCTCATCCCACATATATTCTCCATGACAAACTACTCTGGTTCTTAATATTTATTTTGTATCCTGCCACTTCTTTGCTACACACCACACAGTCATTTATTGCTTAATGACAGGAATACCTTTTGAGAAATGAGCAGTTAGGTGATTTTGTCATTCTGCATACATCAAAGACCAATTACAAAAACTAGGTACGCTATAGTCTACTACATATCCAAACTCTGTATAACAACCACCACTTTATATGTCATCCATAGTTGACCACATAATGATCACATAAATAATATCATTGTTTGGCGTGTAGCTATATAACTATATATATAAATTTAAGCTAAAATTTTGATTATAAATTCAAGCACATTTAATTATTACCTGCAATATAGCTTATTCATCCTTATTTTTTAGAATATATAACTCTACCATTTTGTTAGTATGATTATGCCCTAATTTATTTGACTTCTTTCTTATAGATTGACACTTAATTTTAGATTGACATTTAATTTGTTTCCAATATTTTGTTATTGCAAATAGTACTGCAAAGACAATCCTTGTTCCAATTCTGTTTTATATATATATCAGTTATGCAAAATTGAAATAGAAATGCAAGTAGGAGAAAATTTTTTAAATTTATGGCTTGCCTCCAAAACAGTTACTTTAACTAATTGTTTCCACCAACAATATATATGAGAATTAGTCCCACAAATAATTTAGGATATTTTTGCCAAC